GCCATAGTCTGGGCCTTCTGAAGCTGAAAGGAGAAAGCACCTCTGTCCTATGTTGTTCACAGCTTTGTAGCAGATTTATTTATTAGAAAGGCAGAGTTACAGAGAGGAGGGGAGGAAGAGATTTTTTTTTTAAACATTTTAAAAATACTTACCTATTGGCCGGCGCCGCGGCTCACTAGGCTAATCCTCTGCCTGTGGCGCCGGCACCCCGGGTTCTAGTCCTGGTTGGGACGCCAGATTCTGTCCCAATTGCTCCTCTTCCAGTCCAGCTCTCTGCTGTGGCCCAAGTGCTTGGGCCCTGCACCCCATGGGAGACCAGGAGGAAGCACCTGGCTCCTGGCTTCAGATCAGCGCGCCGGCCGTAGAGGCTGTTGAGGGATGAACCAATGGAAGGAAGACCTTTCTCTCTGTCTCTTTCCTCACTGTCTAACTCTGCCTGTCAAAAAAAAAATTATTTATTTATTTGAAAGGCAGAGAGAGATGTCTTTCATCCACTGGTTCACTCCTCAAATGGCCACAATGGCAGGAGCTGGACAGATCTGAAGCCAGGAGCCAGGAGCTTCTTCTGGATCTCCCACGTGGGTGCAGGGGCCCAAGGATGTGGGCCATTTTCCACTGCTTTCCCAGGCCATAGCAGAGAGTTGAATTGGAAGTGGAGCATCAGAGACTCAAACCAATGTCCATACGGGATGCTGGCACTGCAGGTGGCGGCTTTAACCACTATGCCACAGCACCAGCCCCACAGAGAGAGAGATCTTCTATCCCTTGGTTCACTCTCCAAATGGAAGCAACAGCTGGGACTGAGCCAGGCCAAGCCAGGAGCCTGGGACTCCATCCAGGTCTCTCAGGTCGGAGGCAGTGCCTAAGTGCTTGGGCCATCTTCCCCTGCTTTCCCAGGCCCATTAGCAGGGAGCTGGATGGGAAGTGGAGCAGCCTGGTGTGGGATGCCAATGTGGGCTTACTCTCCTGAAAGCCTAAAGCAGCGCCTGGCTCAGAATAATAGGAAGGTCAGTATTTGTGGAGTAGCTGAATGGATGGGTGGATGATGTTAAGGGGGAAACAGGGTGATAAATTAAAGAACACATCTGGGAGCGTAGTAAATTTTTTTAAAGATTTATTTATTTATTTATTTGAGAGGTAGAGTTACAGACAGAGAGATGAAGAGACAGAAAGATCTTCCATCTGCTGGTTCATGCCCCAAATTGCTGCAATGGCCTGAGCTGTGCCGATCCGAAGCCAGGAGCCGTGAGCTTCTTCCAGGTTTCCTATGCGGGTGCAGGGGCCCAAGCACTTGGACCATCTTCTACTGCCACCCCTCTCCCAGTCTCCAGGGGCTGCCCCAGGCTGGGAGATACAGTAGAGGGTTGGGAAATGGTGCTGTGGCCACATTGTGCGCCAGGACTCACATCTCGGGGAGCGCCCTTCCTGCCTGCCTTTCCCCCTCCAGGAATCGAGTTTCCTGGTCTCTCCCGCAGCCTGGTCCTCCTCCAGAATTCCCTCTGGCCACAGTTCTTCCACACTGCTCCCATGGAAGCATGTGATGAGGCCCCTGCCTTGGATTCAGGCCCCATGACTCCCACGGAACCCAGCAGGCTGGCTTCTGTCCCCCTTTGTGTTCCTTGGGGACGCCCGTCCTGGGAACCCTGCCACCGTGCTGTGAGGCGGCCAAGCAGCCACATGCAGAGGCCACGCAGAACCAGCCCAGCCCAGCCCAGCGCCCAGCTGACGGCCATCATGGAAGGAGGCAGCAACTCTGGGCGGGGCCAGCAGTGTGAGCCCAACCAGTCCTACAGGTGCCTCTGATCCCGCACTTGAGAGCCCCTGCTTTGCAGCCCCCGGCTCAGGCCACAGACTCAGCTATCGTCTCCTATTCCCGAAAGCCTTTCCTTCAGAGGCTTTTTTGAAGATTTGTTTATTTGAAGGAGACACAGAGAGGTCTTCCATCCACTGGTTCACTCCCCAAATGACTGCAGTGGTTGGTGCTGGGCTGTCTTTTCCTGCTTTCCTAGGCACATTAGCAGGGAGCCGGGCCAGAAGTGGAGCAGCTGGGGCTCAAACCGGTGCTCATATGCGATGCCAGTGTCACAGGTGGCGGCTTTACCTCTTGCGCCACAACAAAGGCCCAGGAAGTGGCTATAAATATTCCCATTTTACAGTTGGAGAAACTGAGACTGGTTGAGTTCAGAAACTCGGCCAAAGGCAGGGCTGGAACCCAGGCTGTGTGGCTATGGTAGTGCCTTGCCAGTGATGCCCAAGCAGAGTGCTCAGATGGGGTTCAGGGGGTTGCATGGGATCTCATGTGTAGATCTGTGAGGTGGAAGGCCCAGACCTTCCAAATTCTCAAGAGAAACCAAAAATGTGGAAAATTAGCAAGTAGTTACATTTTTTAAAGATTTATTTATTTATTTGAAAATCAGAGTTAAACAGAGAGAGGAGAGGCAGAGAGAGAGAGAGAGGTCTTCCATCCGATGGTTTACTCCCCAGTTGGCCACAATGGCTGGAGCTGCGCCGATCCGAAGCCAGGAGCCAGGAGCTTTTTCCTGGTCTCCCACGTGGGTACAGGGGCCCAAGGGTGTGGGCCATCTTCCACTGCTTTCCCAGGCCACAGCAGAGAGCTGGATCAGAAGTGGAGCAGCTGGGACTCGAACCGGTGCCCACATGGGATACTGGCACTGTGGGCGGCGGCCTAACCCACTACACCACAGTGCCAGCCCCCAGTAATTACATTTTTTTAAACAGGCAGAGTGGACAGTGAGAGAGAGAGACAGAGAGAAAGGTCTTCCTTTTTTGCCGTTGGTTCACCCTCCAATGGCCGCCGCGGCCAGTGCGCTGCGGCCAGTGCACCGCGCTGATCCGAAGGCAGGAGCCAGGTACTTATCCTGGTCTCCCATGGGGTGCAGGGCCCAAGCACTTGGGCCATCCTCCACTGCACTCCCTGGCCACAGCAGAGAGCTGGCCAGGAAGAGGGGCAGCCGGGACAGAATCCGGCGCCCTGACCGGGATTAGAACCCGGTGTGCTGGCGCCGCTAGGTGGAGGATTAGCCTAGTGAGCCGCGGCGCCGGCCCCCAGTAATTACATTTTAAAAGCTCAGATGTTTGGGGAACCAGCAGATGGGCGATCTCTCTGGCGTTCTGCCTTTCAAATAAATAGAAACAAATAAACATATACAAAATTTAAAAAGCAACTCAGATGCTTCAAGAGTCCAACATAAATGCCTGCACCAGATGACGCTGGGCAGACAAACCAAGGCTGTGAATGTTCCAGAAACCGGGGGTGGGGTGGGGTGTGGAAGTCCGCTTTAAATACAGGGGCCACTTTTGGTGGCTTGTCGACTTCCCTCTCCCTGAAGGCAGACCCCAAATATAGACCCTTACCTTGGCCCATATCTTGGCCCACCCTGGGCTGGGTCTGTCTGGTCTCAGCTGTGGCCAGATCGGAACTTGCATACAGAAGGTGCTCATTTAGTGCTTATGGATGGAAAGAAGCCATTAAACCTCTCCAGCTCGGAGCACCCTCCCCACTCTTCCGGTTCCCTCCCCCTCCCCTGCCTTGGGCAGGTGGGGGCAGGGCACTGGTGGGTTAAAAGCTTGCAGCTGGGGGCTGTTGGGTGCTGGGTCTCGGTGGAGCTTCAGCAGCAGCATGGCTGCCGCAGGCCCTGTATGTCCCCCTGCCTGACCCCTGCTGGGGGAAAGGTTGGGGGCAGTGGGGGCCAGGTGCCCAGCCCAGCCTCACTCCTTTCTTTGGCCAGGTTTGTGAAGTTGAGGGTGGAATCCAGGAGCAGCAGGAGGAACCGAAGGAGAAAGAGGAAGAGGCGGCAGCGGTGGGTGCGTCCCCCGGCGGGCAGGCTCAGGACTCGCCCAGGGCTTCTCAGCCTCTGCGGAGAAAGGTTCAGAATGAGGGCCCCGCGGAGGCCCACCTCGGGGTGCACCCCCTGCACAACAGGTGAGAGCAACCACAAAGCTGGACACGGACCCCTGCTGTTAGGTCGGCCTCTGTGCTCGCTGGCGGCAGGGACTTGGGCGACCCCTTCCTCTCTCGGGCCCCAGGTCCTCATCCACAAAAGGCCAGGGTTGGCCTAAGCCTAGAGCCCTGTTGCCCACCCCACCCCACCTCGACTGTCCCCCTCCCCCCAGCCTTAACCCTGCTGAGATTCTTGCTTAAATGCTGCCCTCTGTCCCCTGGCCCTGCAGGATACCTGTACACACACACACGCACACACACACACACGTGTGTGTGTGTAGGGGTGCCTCTGCCCCAAGTCCCATCTCTGTCCTTAGAGGGGAGAGTGAGAGAGAGACCCCTCTCAGCCCAGGCGCTGCTCGGAGCAGACCTAGAGGGCTCTGGGCTTCCTCCCGGCCACTCCCCTCATTCCCTAACCCCCTCCAGGTGGGCTCTGTGGTTCTTTAAGAATGACCGCAGCCGGGCCTGGCAGGACAACCTGCATCTCGTCACCAAGGTTGACACCGTGGAGGACTTCTGGGCGTGAGTGTGTGCCCGGGCGCCGGAGCCCGGGCTCTCATCCCGCATGGGAGTGGGGGTGGGGGGAGTGAGTGCTTCCGGCACAGCCCAGCCAGACCGCTCCAGGGAACCCTTCCATGTGTGCTGAGGGTGAGGCTTGGTGGGTCTCAAGCTAGGGCACAGGGTTGGGGCCCAACCACCTCTGCCACCTGCAAGCCTTCCTGCGGCTCAGGGGGAAAGAGAGAGCCTGGGTTGAGGAGTGGGGGAAGCAAGGGGACAACCTTGACTCTGCAAGTCCATGGCCATGTGTTGGAGAAGCCATGGGCAAGGTCTCCTCCATGCCTGAGCCTGTGTCAGCAGCCAAAGTGTTCCCAGGAAACTGCTCTGCAAATGCTGGGGCGAGAGAGTCCCAGGCTCCAGCTGGGGCAGCACAGGCTTCGTTGGGTTGGGCAGCAGGGGGTGGGGTTCCAGGGAGAGGTGGGGCTTGAGTAACTGGGGGTGGGGTTTCAGGTGGCAGGGCGAGCATGAGCACAGGCCTGAAGGTGGTGGCGAGGACCGGGCAGGGCTGAGGCCAGCTGGAGCCAGGTTCAGAAACCCTGACTTGAGCAGGGCTGGGGTCCCTCTGCAGGATGTATGGTCACATCCAGCTGGCCAGCAAGCTCTCTTCCGGCTGTGACTACGCCCTGTTCAAGGTGAGCTCTGCTCCTGGGAGCCCCATCCCCAAGGGGGTGGGGGCTGAGCCTCCTGGCTTCTGCTCTGTTCCTCCCTCCCAGGGACCAGGGGAGGGGGCAGGGGGCAAGACAGCTGTGATTTCTGGCCCAGAGGGTCAGTCAAAGCAGAGTGGTTAAGTCTGCAAGGGGAGGGCAGGGAGGAGGCGACTGGCCTGGCTCAAGCAAGGGACAGCACCGGAAGTCCCTAGAGATGCTGACCTTAGCAGTCCAGGACTTGTCCTGGTGACTTCCTTCCCGCGAGGTCTGGGGACCTAGAAGCCATGCCTGGGACATCTCTGGCCCCGGGGATGTCAGCCCCAGAGACTTCCTGGATCCTCCCCATTTGAACTCCTGTCTCAGGAACTTGGTTCAGTAACACACATGGCACCCAAACAGACAAGGCCCACAACAGGCTATGAGTGGTTCAGGGTGGACCCTGCTCCTGGGGAGGGCTGGAGGCTCGCAGAGGCTGGGAGGGGGCGGGGCCCGTCCCTCCGACCCCAGGGGGGTCGTGGACCTGCACCCCCTGGCAGGATGGCATTGAGCCCATGTGGGAAGACAGCAAGAACAAGAGGGGTGGCCGCTGGCTCATCAGCCTGGCCAAGCAGCAGCGCCATAGTGAGCTGGACCGACTGTGGCTGGAGACGGTGAGTGGGGGGAGGGGCGGGACACCCGGAGGGGCCTCCAGGGCAGCTGGGGGCAGCCCCAGGCCTCTGCCGGAGGTCTTGCCACCCTCTCCCGCTTCGGGCGCAGCTGCTGTGTTTGATCGGGGAGAGCTTTGCGGAGCACAGCAGAGAGGTGTGCGGGGCCGTGCTCAACGTCCGCACCAAGGGAGACAAGATCGCCGTGTGGACCAGGGAGGCCGAGAACCAGGCAGGCGTGCTGCACATCGGGTGAGGGCGGCTCAGCTGGGTCTCCTCTAACGAGAAGGGGGGTGGGGGTGGCCTGGCCTGCAAGGGAGGTCCCTGGCAGCTCTCATACCCCTGCCCCTCGCCCTTACCCGCCCCCATCCTTACCCCGCTGTGTAAAGGGGCTGGGGATGCAGAATTCCAGCTCTCCCTAGCACTAGAACTTTGGCTGCATTGGGGTCCTACCTTGAGCTCCCGCACCAGTGAAACACATGAAACAGGAGTGGCTGGGGCTGGAGCCACGTCAGGGTTAGGAGGGCAGGGGTCATCTTGGCCCAGCCCCTCTGCTGCCCACCTGATGTGGGTCTCTCCTTTTTGTGCCCCCACCCACCCAGGCGGATATACAAAGAGCGCCTGGGCCTCTCCACCAAGACCATCATCGGCTACCAGGCCCACGCTGACACAGCCACCAAGAGCAACTCCCTAGCCAAGAACAAGTTTGTGGTGTGAGGACACCGGAGCCTCTGACTGCCATGGTGGGGGTGGGAGGCAGGGGGCTCGAGCCTTACCCATCCCGGAGTGAAAATAAATAGCTTGACATAGGATGACCTGGGCCTTGTGGTGGCATGGGGTGGTGGCCGGAGGAGCTGAGAGGGGTTCCCTGGGGAGAGTGTGTCATGACGGGGGTGGGGGGAGGGATGGGGAGAGAGGGCTCACAGCAGGTGGAAAGATGAGGGTGTGTCCCGTGATGACTTGACTTGGCCTCCATGGGAAAGGGGCTTCTGCTTGGAGGGAGGGGGTTTGAAGCCACTGTTAACTGAGAGCTGGCATTCAGCAATGAGAGTGGGGGGTTCCTCTTTGTGACCCCTCTGCTTTAGCACCTGTAGGGGTTGCCTTTCATCACAGCCTGTGTCCTGTCTCTTAACCAGCAATGAGGGTTGGGTCCCCTGCACAGGCTGCCCTCCCTGCCCACGGAGCTGGAGGGTTGGAGGAGATCACCCTCCCCTGTGCAGAGGGGCAAAGGGAATAGCGGAAGCTGGAGAAAGCCTGTCCCGTCTCTTGAAGAGCGCAGGCCGGTGGCCCAGGCCTCCCCGGCATCAGTTAGAGCTAGAACACTTGCACCTTCCTGTTCCTTCTAAACATATACTTCCAAACAAAGTTGCAAGTTTTTAAAGGAGGGCTCTACAATTTTGAATAGCGTTTGGATTTCCTGAATCCTTGCTCTGGGAGCTCATATGAGATCCTGGGTACTAAGGAGCCCCATGAGAGCCCCAGCCCGGTTACAGGAGAGAGGGGAATGCCAGGGACCCTCAACTTAAGGGTTGGAGGACAGGATGCTGGCAAAACTGGGGGATGGGGTGGGAGAACAGCAGGTGAAGCACGCATGAGACCCCGGTCCCCATGGTCCCCATCGGGCCTGAGTCTGAGTCGGTACGGATGGCACTAAATGCAGCCGATTCCACATCACCATCCTTGCTGCTCCCAGGGGCAGCGGTCAGTCCTCTGGGTTCTGACAGCAGGCCCGGGATGGGGCTGCCACTGGTACTGAGCCTCGTGGGGCTGTGCGGCCCAGGGATCTGGACGCCTATAGTTACCAGCCCCTGGACGTTCAGCACGATGGAAGAGCGCTGGGAGCTTCCCCTGGCCGCCTGCGCAGGGGGCGGGGTCGGAGCAGGGCTGGGGGCGGGGCTCCGGACGCCGGGGGCGGTCCCTGCGGGGCGGGCGGGGCCCGACCGGCGCTCTGTGTGGCCGCGGCCATGAAGCCGCAGCCGCCGGGCTAGGCCCCGGGCGGCTCCAGCCCTGGGCGGCCCGCGGAGGGCTGGGCCCGGCCCCCGGCTTCGGCTCCGGCTCCCGGGCCGGCGGGCGTCCGCTAACCATGCCCGGCAAGCACCAGCACTTCCAGGACCCCGAGGTCGGCTGCTGCGGGAAATACTTCCTGTTTGGCTTCAACATTGTCTTCTGGGTGAGCTCGGGGTCTGCGCCGGGCCCTGTGCTGGCCTGGTGGGAGGGTGGGGGGGTGGGTGACGGGCAGGCTAGGGGAGGCGGTCCGGGCCCTGCTGGGAAACCCGCTCTCTGCTCAGGATTTAGGGCTCGGGACAGCCCCCCACTTCCTCTTTGCACCCCCACGCCTACTCCCAGGGCCGCTCGAGGGGGCGCCGGAGAGGCCCGGACTGCAGGCGGCGGATCTCGGCGCCGGCGTGGCTGGGAGTGGAGGGAGGCTCCCTGAGGACTAGGGGAGAATGGCAAGGTGTTTCCCGGAAGAACTCAGGCACCCCCTGGGTGCGAGTCGCCCCCTCTCTCGCCCCTTGCATCGTGTAGGGTACGAGCTGAGCCGCACCCCTGGTTCAGCCCATGGGTCGAGAGCCTGGTGCGGAGGCCAGGCCGGCTGGGTACCCTTGCCTCTCCACCGCCTGGGCTGGCCGCCTTAAGCTGATGCAAAGGGGGGGGGAGGTGTCACAGCCCTGCCCCCACCCTAATCCGGTGCTTGGAGGCTTGTGGGCAGGGAGGGGCTACAGAGATCTGCCTTGCTGGGAACCCAGGGGCCTGCCCTGGGGGAGCAACCTGGACATCCCACAGCTGACCACACCGGGGGGGGGGGGGGGGACTCCACCCCTGCCCACAGAGGGGGCTGCTCCCAGGGTGGCATCTGGACCCTGTCAACCGAGTGCTGCCTCTGCGGTCTGCTCCCATGCCTTGGGTCAGCGTGCCAGGCGCCTTTGGTCTGCGTGTCCTGGACCCACCTGCTGGGGGCGCTTGCCATTGTGAGGGGGGTCCTCGGGCCTCTAGGGTGTGGGTGGTGTACAGAGAGTGCTAGTGAGGGGTCAGGAGGTGTCTCGGAGGGCACCGCAGGCCTGGCCGTGAGTCCCCTGGGCCTCAGCTTTCCTAGCCTGGCTGTGGGCGATAATGAAGTCTGCCCCCCACCCCCAGGGTTGTTAGGCAGATCGAGTTCCAAGGAGTTCTAGTCACATGGCCGCCTATTACTGTCTACCGTTTGCCGGTGGGAGACGTGAAGGGACAGGCACGGAGAGGTTAAGTCATTTATCTGGGGTCACACAGCAGTCAGGTGCAGAGCTGTAGGCTGGAGATGACCTGGAGTGGCTGGGGGCAGCAGGTGGGGGTGACCCAAGTTTGTTCGGGGGGGGGTGGTGGAGGTGCGCCCAGCTTTTCCTGGAGTGAGTGTGTGGGGGTTGCCCTGCAGGAGTGATGGGTGGGTGAGGGGCAGTGGGGGGGAGGAGGTCGGGGTCTAGCTGGGAAGCTGAGGGTGGGGGAGGGGAGGGCAGCTCCAGGGAGAGTCCTGGGCTGAGTTGATAGGATTGGGCCACTCAGGGGGCTGAGGAAGGTTTCAGGTTAGGGTGAGGATGGCCCCAGGGAGGCTTCTACACAATGAGGGGGTGGCGTTGTTTGAATGTCAAGTGGACCCTGGCATTGCCCTGCTCTGAGCTTCACGTGGGACACGTGGTCTGGCAGGCGGGACTCAAAGTTCAGCGAATCTCTAGCAGGTTAATTTCTGAGTTTTGTGTGGCCGACAGATGATGTTGTAAATATCCAAATGGCCCTTGGCAGGCAGAAGGTCCCCCCGCCCTGGTGGGTTCTCGCTGCTCCCAGAACACAGTCCAGATTCCTCCCCAGGGCTCCAGTGCCTGCTGGGTCTGGCCCTCCTTGCTCCTGCCAGGTGGGAGTTGCCTGAGGCCCCTTCACTTTTTTATCTCTGCCTGTTGGGATCTTCTCTCTCTCCTTGTCAAACCTCAGCCAAAACGCCCGCACCTACCCTGCCACTTCTTAAAAAAAAAAAAAATTATTTAGGGGCCTGTGCTGTGGTGTAGTAGGTTAAGCATCTGCCTGCAGCACCCGCATCCCATATGGACGCTGGTTCAGGTCCCGGCTGCTCATCTTCCGATCCAGCTCCCTGCTTATGGCCTGGGAAAGCAGTGGAAGATGGCCCTGGTCCTTGGGCCTCTGCACCTGCATGGGAGACCTGGAAGACGCTCCTGGCTTTGGATTGGCCCAGCTATACCATTGTGGCTATTTGGGGAGTGAACCAGTAGATGGAAGACCTCTCTCTCTCTGTCTCTCCCTTTCTCTGTCTGTAACTCTACCTCTCAAGTAAATAAATAAATCTTTTTTAAATTACTTATTTGAAAGGCAGAGTGACAGAGGAGGTGGTGGGCAGAGAGAGAGCGAGTGAGAGGGATTGCCCACTCACTAGTTCACAGTCTAAGTTAATGCAACAGCCAGGGGCTCCATCTGAGTCTTCCACATTGGCAGCAGGAGCCCAGATACTTAGGTCATCATCTTCTGCCTTCCAGACATTAGCCAGAAGCTGGATCAGAAGCGCAGAGTAGCTGCACTACTGATCAAACAAGACACTTTGGTATGGGACGCGCTGTCCCTGCTGTGGCCGCAGTGCCTGCCACTCTCTAAAACACACCCAACCCCTGATGCATCCGTTTCCTTTACGGGACCTATCAGTACCTGAGGCTTGTCTGCTCACTGTCCACTTCCCCCGCTGGCGCGGAAGCTCGCCTGTCCTCGGTGTGCGCCCGGTGCCTGGGGTGCCAGGTGTTTGCGGCAGGCAGGTGGATGTGGGGTCCTCAGCCTGGGTGAGGCCTGGGGGGAGATCTGGGAGATGCCAGCGTCCTGGTGGGATGGAAGGTGGGTGTGAGATGGGAGAGGGGCAGAAGGCTGAGGCTGGAACCCACCGGAGTGGCCACGGGGCCGGGGCAGGGAAGGCAGAGCCTCCTGGGAAGAAAGCGAAGTAGGATCCTCAGGGTCAGGCATGGGAGGGCAGCTGCCCTTGAGGTCCAGGGCTGCTCAGGGGAGGAGCCCAAAGCTGGCCTTTGGAAGGCCTAGGCAGGGCCATAGCCAGGTGTTTAATAGGGCAGGGCTGGTGGCCAGGCCAGGGGCTGCTCAGCAGAGAGCTTGCGCTGTGTGGAACTGACCAGGGGTTATTGTGAGTTATGACAGCACGCTGGCTGGCAGATGGAGGTTACTGTGGTGGGTTGGGCATGGGGGAGGAGCCCTGGGTAGCATTGGTGGGGGGGAGGGCAGTGGCAGAGAGGCTGGAAGCCTGGAACCCCAGCATGGGCCTGGGGGGTGGTGCGGCAGTGTCTTGCCACTCTCTGCTCCAGTCTTAGGTTCCAGGAAAGTGCTCCTAATGTCCATCTCATTAGGCTGGGGCTGGCTCTGGTCCCCTAGACGGTGTTGTGGGGACAGAAAATGTGTTCTTGCAAAGGTAGGAAGGACCCCAGATCCAATCACAGGCCCCTAGCACTGGGGAGGAAAGAGTGAGCGAGGGGGCTGGTGCCGCTGCTGGTGCCCAGCCCTGAACTCCGGCCGCTGCTCTTGCAGGTGCTGGGAGCCCTGTTTCTGGCCATCGGCCTCTGGGCCTGGGGCGAGAAGGTAAGGTGGTGGGTAGGGTGCGGGGCTGCCTGTGGGGTGAGGCGGTGGGCAGCTCCGCGGCTCACACGTGCCCCCTCCCCACCCCAGGGTGTCCTCTCCAACATCTCAGCGCTGACGGATCTGGGTGGCCTGGACCCCGTGTGGCTGTTTGTGGTAGTTGGAGGTGTGATGTCGGTGCTGGGCT